GAGCCTCCTCCAGGAGGGCGCAGGGTGAACCAGGTAAGCTGACAGGGCCCCGCGGTGTGTGTGTGTTGCGGGGAATAGCCCCTGCTGGGAGTGACCCAGGCAAGGGTATCACCACAGCCCCCTGGACATCCAGGCAGGGGTCATGAGCCACCCCTCCCAGGACGGGCGCGGGGCTCAGGGACCTGGGTGCCCAGGGGAGGTTCCTCTTCCAGCTTGGACACTGTGGTCATGCCTGCCCCTAGCACAGGGCTCCTTCAGATCTGTGGTGAGGTGGCTCCTAGCTGGGTGTTTTGGTGCTGCCTCTGCTCGAGCACAACTGCACGAACACGAGTGCGCGCACATGCGCGCGCGCGCGCGCACACACACACACACACACACACACACACAGGGGCAGATGCAGACGACTGCACCCAAGCGCCCATCTGTCCACACTCCTGGCCCCCCCTTGGTCCCGTCCCCCAGGCCCCAGGAGTGCCATGGCACCCAATTCTCACAGAGCCCCTCCCACCCCCGGAACCTCCCTCCCCGCCCCCAGCCCCCAGCCCTAGTCCCCTGCCCCAGCTTGGCTGCAGCAGTCCCTCCCCAGGGAGGCCTGGCGGGGTGGGGGCTGGCCACTGTGGGAGGCGCCTGCCCCCGGCACCAGTGGGAACCCGGCAGCAGCGGCCTCGCTCTGCGCTCCTGGCCTGGTGGACATGGGAGGTGCTGTCCACAGTCGACTGTTCTGCAAGTTTGTGGATCTCCCAAATGCTTTTGGAAAAGATTTATTGCTAAACACACAAAACCCACTCCTCTTGCCTGCCATGATACTTCCACGTTTTCTGCGTCCATTTACCTGCTCTGTGTTATCCTAGGGGAAAGCGGGTGAAGGAGGGAATGGGGGTGGGAGGAAGGAGAGAAGAAACAGAAAGAGGGAGGAAGAGGGGAAAAGAGACTAGAAAAGGGGGGAAGTGGAACCAAGCCCAGCAGGCCCAGGGCGCTTGGCCGCCGGCGGCGGGGAACCCTGCAGCTCCCTGCCCGCCCCTCGGGCCTCCGTCCTGCTTCCCCTGCCAGGAGGAAGGCTCCCAAATGGATCCACAGGCGGCAACAGTGAAAACGAAGGTGCCCTCATCAAACGCAAGCTAGTGGACCCGCCGTGCATGTGCCCAGGCTCCGGCGCCCCTCCGTGGCGAGAGAAACGGCTGCTGTGCACGAACGCCCAGGCCAGTGGCATCCTCCAGTCTGAGCTGGCAGGGGCAGGGGGTGGGTTCCGCCCTGGGTCGGCGGGGACCTGCTGGGCCTGGCTCCCTCTGGTCACCCTGCATCCTCCCTAGTTAGTCCCTTTATCTCACCCCGCTCACACGACCTCTCTCAGCACCAGCCCGCTCCCCTCCTGGGGGCTGGAAGTCTGAGCCCTTGGGTTTGGGGATTTCGCTCAAACCTTCTTGCTCTAAGTTTAAAGCAAAGGCGGAGCAGCAGTCTCACCTTTTCTCTGGGTCTCTCGGGTTGAGACTATAAAACAAACTTCGGCGATGCGCTCCGAGAACGTGGCTGTCCCAGCAGCACTTGCTGTCCCAGACAGAAAGCAGGCAGCCCTCTCCACCGGGAGCCTTCTCCTCAAAGGGGCCAACCACGGAGCTTCACCGAATCTGTCCGTAGTGTGAAGGGAGGTGACAGTCAGCTAACCGCTGCCACCGCCGGGCCCCTCTAGCGTGGTGAAATATTTAGAGGTGCTGTCCCATCCCCGGTGCCCCAGCAGTCCAAGCTTTGGCTCTTCAGGGGACCTCCAGGCGACAGAGGCCAGCCACCCCTTCAGGTGGGAGACTCAGGGCTCAAAAGAGCTGGGGACAATGCTTGCCATCGGGATGCCATGGTGCTGCACATGGCATCACCACCAAGGACAGCTTCATCCTACCTTAGCGGTGTCCCAGGGCCACCTCAGAGTGGCCCTCCTCCACACCGGGCAGCCCAGAGGGGAAGGGGAAGCGCAGGTGCTGCTGGTTGGGGCCCGCCGACAGCGGTGCTGTTTACAACTCTGGTCAGTTTCTCGTGCTGCCCCAGGGTTGGCCCAGAGCAACTGCAGGGCCCAGGTCAGGGTTCTCTTTGTCTTCTAATTGGGGGGAAATATGGCAAAAACAAAAGCCACAGAAAAACCACCCAGGCTCCAGTGACATTTGGATCCAAACGGATTTATTTGTGTGGTTTTTTCCCCCCTTTCCTCAGTTTTGTAGCAAATGAAAACAGAACGCGACAAAACCCAACACAACAAAACTTTAAATGGGTCGCTGGAGCGTCCTACTCGGAGACTCAGCAGGAACAAGTGCGGGTCCAGCCAGGACAGCAGGAGTCCTGGGCCTGGCAGGCCCGCAGGGGCCCGAGCGCAGGCCCCTCCACCCTCTCTCCTGCTAGTCCAAAAGGCGCTCAGGCTTTAAAAAAAGATTCCACAAACAAAACGAAACACAATTTAAATTAAAATAAAAACGTTTTCTTCACCCGCCCCCATGCTAGGAGGTTCAGGCCAAAACCTCTTAATTTTTCTTTTTCTGCTACAAACACTGTACATTACTTTTTGTTTTCTTTCACTTCTCTTGAAGGTTAAAATAAGATATATTTCCCGGGGAGTCATAAATACGATCTGGTGCATAGAGAAATAGCAGCACGGGAGTCCGGGCCAACCCCACCCCCCTCCCCCCGTCGAGTACAGTAGGGCAGCAGTCTGAACACAGCCTCAAGTTCCTGGGCTTCGATCTCTAGGGGACGCGGGGACAGGGCGGGGGCAGGCGGGCGGGCAGGCAGGCGGGCGGGCCAGGGCCGGGCCCCTCCGAGCGAGTGACACATGCTGGGACTCGCGGACATCCGAGGGTGACCCCGGCGGGAAGGAAAGAGCTTCTTCCAGGGCTTTCATTTCTAATCACCGAGCAAAATAAATATAAATACTTCGAAAATAAGACGGCTTTTAAAAGGAGTAAAAAAAGGGGCAAGGAAGAGAAGACAAAGGACGGAGGGGTCGGGGGGGCTGCCCAGGAGGGGACCGCGCCCCCGCGGCGGGCTGGGCGGCTTCGGGGCGCGGGCGGCGCGCGGCGTGTGTACACGTGGACGCCCGGAAGTTCGACCTGGCGCGACTTTCCTGGAAACCACCGCGCCCGGTGCGCGGAGGGGCCGCGGCGCGGGAAGGGGCCTCCCGTCCGGCGTCTGCGGACCTGGAGCGGGACCCGGGGGGCCGGCCCGGCCGGACGAGGCGGAGTCGGAGCCGGACGGCCTTGTGTCCCGGTCCTGGGCCGCGGAGTCCGAGCCTCTTCGCGGCGGCGGCGCGGGCGGGGGTCCCGCGCTCACAGGAAGAAGTCGGGCGCGCCCTTGGCCCCGCCGGGGCCGGCCTGCGGCGGCGAGGACTCCCGCGGGAAGCCGGCCCCGCCCGCGCCCACGGGGCCGCCGCGGCCCGCGAGCTTCTCGTATTTCTCCTTATACAGGTCCCGCTCCTTGGCCAGGCGCCCCACCTCCAGCTTCAGCTGCTCCACCTGGCTCTGGAGCTGGCACTTCTCGCTCTCCAGGATGTGCCGCTGCTGCACCCGCTTGAAGCGGCACGACTGCGCGTAGCCGCGGTTCTTGAGAGTGCGCCGCTTCTGCTTCAGCCGGATGACCTCCTCCTTACTGAAGCCGCGGAGCTGCCGGTTCAGCTCTCGCACCGACATGGACACCAGCTGGTCGTCGGAGAAGCGCTCCTCCAGGCGCACGTGGTGGCCCGCGCCGCCGTGGCCCGCGCCGCCGTGGTGGTGGTGGTGGTGGTGGTGGTGGTGGTGGTGCGCGCCGTGGTGCGCGCCGTGGTGGTGGCCGGCGCCCACGTCGTCTGCACCGCCGCCGCCCGCGAAGCCCTGGCCCCGGAAGGCCTCGTAGGCCGCGGCGGCCGCCGGGTGATGCGCGCTGTGGTGCCCGGCGTGGTGTCCGCTGCCGATGAGCGCCTCCACCGCGTCCTCCGGCGTCAGGTTGAGCGCCTCCGGGTTGAGGTGGTGCTGGTAGCCACTCATCCAGTACAGATCCTCCAGCGCCGGCTTCCCCGGGGCGCCCCCGACGACGCCGGGGCCCCCGCTCGCCGGCCCCGGGGCGCCTCCGGCCTGCGCCGCCCCGCCGCCCGCGGGGCCGCCTCCGCCCCCGGTGCCGGGGCTGGGCGCGCAGAAGCTGGGCGAGGAGGGCACGGAGGAGCAGGGCGTGCTGAGCGGCGTCGACGACAGCGAGCCGGGCGGCAGGCGGTGGCAGAAGCGCTCGGCCTCGGCTGGCTCCTTCTTCACCTCGAACTTCATCAGGTCGAAGTCGTTCACGTACTCGATGGCCAGAGGGCTACTGGGCAGCTCGGCGCCCATCGCCAGCTCCGTGGCCATCGCCCGGGGCCCCGGTCCCGCCGCCGCGCCTGGCTGCCCCCCCGACGGAAGGCGTGGGGGGGGGGGGGAGCCGCGGGCCTCTCCCCCCCCTTCGATTCCCACGGGCGTCGGGTCCCGGCGGGGTGGCCGCGGCTGGAGCGGGGACCGATCTGGTACCGCCGCGTTGAAGCGCGCGGGGAAAAGTTTCGCGCAGTCAACTCAGGGGCGACCGCTGGGGACGCCGCCGGCCCGGCCTCTCGGGCGGCCTCAGGCCGCTCCCTGGCGGGCGCAGGCCAGCCGCACTTCCCAGTCCCAAGGCCAGCGCCCGGGCAGGTGGCCGGGTGGCTGGCGGTGCAGGCGCGGCCTCGGGGGGCTGGGGTTCCCCGCGCTCCGCCCGCGAGCCGCCGGCCCCGCCTCCACGGCAGAGCGCCGCGGCGGGCGCTCCCCTTTATAGAGCCGGGCGCCCGGGCCCGCCTTCCAGGGAGGGGCGTACGTCCTTGGGCCAATCGGAGGCCCAGACCCGCCGTCCTCATTTGCCTATCCTCATGGCAACCTGGAGCCCAGCTGTCAATCTTCTATGGGGAACAGCTGTGGGAAGGGGTGGTGACCCGCTGCGGGGGAGAGGAGGGGGCAGGGCCCTCTGGTGGCCGCTGCGGGGGACTGCACCCGCAGAGGACATGGGGGGCGCGAGGGCGCGAGGCAAAGAGGGGTGCCCGGCGCCGGGCCTGGTTTGCGGCCTTTGGGACCTCGCGTCCGCTACCGGGCAGCCGGAGAGTCTGCGGGAGCAGAGGGCTCCCCTCGGTGCCTCTGCCCCCCAGCCGCCTCGCTGGCCGTGAACTGGCAGCCCTCCTTTGACCGGCGAGGAGGCCACGTCCAGCCCGCTAGCGCGGCGGCGCCGGGACCTTCCGGCCTCCCGACACGGTGACACTGCGGCCCGGCGGGCGCTGCGCGGGGCACACCGGTTATTTTTAGCGCTTGGTTCAGGCGGGTTCAGGAATTCAGTCAACAAAGTTGCTGGCACCTGTGTGCGGCGGGGTGCACGCGGGACGGCCGGGCTCCAAGGGGCGCGGAGCAGGCGGGGAAGGAGGTGCGCGGCGAGGCGGGTGGACCGAGGCGTGGGGCGCGTGGGGGCCGGGCACGCGGCGCGGGGACTCGGCTCCGGAATCAGGAATCCCCGGCGCCAGCTGCCCACCCGCCTTGGTCTGGCCGCGGGGCAGGGATTTGGGGCGCGGTGCTGGGTCCGGCGGGCATGGGGGACGGCGGTGGGAAGGCTCCAGCGCGAGGAGAAAACGCGAGGGCCTCACGGGCCGACGGTGAGTCCCGGTGGCCCAGGGTCGGTGACCGGGGAAAGGGCTGTGCAGCTGTGGGTGCCAGGAGCAAAGGAGAGGTCCCTGACACTGCCCCTCCGGGGTCGACGGGGATGGGAGGGACCCCCCAGGCTGCGGCCTGACCCAGAGCGTCCCCCCCACCATTCTCTATACTGCTGTTACATGACTTTTACAATCTAAAAATACAATGTTAAATGTAACTGTTTATGCATAGGGGGAAAAAAAGTCTGGAAAGATGTGGGCAGTATCACCAGGGGCAGACTCGCCACTTGCTGGGGGCATTTAGCTACCAGGGCTTGTCCCTTGTTCTGGCTCTAGTGTCTTATTTATAATAAAAAATGTCATACAATTGGGAATGAAATCCCACTTCCTAAGATGTCATGGGGGTGGCCTGGCCCCACTCTGCCAGGTGGGCACCCCGTGCCCCTTCCCCCTCACCCCATCCTGCAGACAGGGACAAGAGAAGTATGGAGACCCACCCAATAGGGATGTACAAGGATGCTGGGCCCTATGCCAGCCCAGAGCCAGCCACCCCTTTATTTGCTTGTGCACACACATTCCCTTACCTTGCATGTATCATTTATTTCCTCACTCATTCATTTATTCCTCCACTAGGAGAGAGGGACAGCCAGTCACACCTGTTAAGTTCCAGCCAGCCAGGATGGAAAAAAGGCCATAAGCTTGTCCATCCAGCTGCCCAGTGGGCTCCTGCAGGTGGGTGTGACGGGCTGGCCCAGCCCAGGGAAGGTGCCGGCCTTGGTGGTGGGGACAGGGCTACTAGGAGGCACTCAGCTGGGTGTGGGGAGCAGAGGCTGGGAGGGCCCAGGTCTCCCCTCCTGTCTGCCAGGGGTGGCTGGTAGAAGCGCCACAGCAAAAGCAAACAGGCTTTGGTCCACAGCGGTCCTGCAGGGCAAGGCTGTCCTGTCTGCTCCCTCAGTAGTCTGTTTTGTGGCCGGGAGAGGAATACGCCAGCTCCCAGAAAGGGCTCTTCCTTCTGGTCCAGCACCACCACACCCTCCTAGGGCCTTTCACACCCACCAATCAGCCCTGGGACCCACAGAATTCCACAGGGACAGCTCATGTTAAACCTACCCCACAAATCTTGATTGAGCACCTACTATATGCCAGGCTGCCTGCCCTGGGGCACTTTCCATCAGCAAGATGTCCCAGGGATTGCTGGTGGAAAGCTAGTCTGCTGAAGCTTGATGGTGTAATGCAACATTTCAAGATGGTCTCGGGCTTTGTGGCAGAAAGTTTGTCCTGGGTGTGCAGAACGGCTGGTCTCTGACTCTGACAGCTGGGAGGACTTGAAGAACAGTCGACGGCTGGAGCCATCAGCACTGTCTTCAGGCCCACGCCTGGCAGATGATATGATAGCGGCTGCTGACCAGACCAGCTCAGCCCCATGCAGGGTCTCCACACGGTGGCTCCCACAGGTTGCTTGGGTTTCCTGGCAGCACAGCGGCTGGTTCCCAGAATGAGGGTCCAAGAGAGCCGGGTGGTGTGCCTGGCATTTCTGTGAGTCCTGTGGGGCGCTGTTGGCTAAGGTGTGGCAGTAGTCTGCCCAAGTCCAAGGGGAGGGCACAGGTGCCACCTTCTGTTGTAGCATCTTTGGAAAATATAGTTGGCCAGAGTGTGGGTCAGAGGGCAGAAAGTAAACCATAAATAATAAGTGAATCATAATTATCAGTTTCCTATTGCTATGCAACAAGTTACCACACGTCCAGCCACTTAACACAGTTACTATCTCCCAGCGCCTGTGGTCAGGGGTCCCTCTGCTCAGGGGCTCCAGGTGCAGCCATGTCTTCTGGTAGCTACTTCCTCCCCATGGCTGCCCCACCACGGGGTCCATTATAAGGTGATGTAATCACACCAGGTTCTGTGGTTGGAAGCAGGTCCCAGTCCCGCCCACTCTTGGGAAGAAGGCCACACAGGGCAGGAGCAGCAGCAGAGGGGAAGGGGACACCATGGACCTGTCCCCTCCTACAGCATGTGAGGCGAAAGGTCACAGGGTGGGAAGAGGAGGGGCTCGCAGGCTGAGGCTGAGGGGGCCTGGTCTGATGTGGGGCTGGGGCGGGGCCGGGGGGGGGATGTCAGGAGCTCGGATGACCCTGCTGAGGTGGGATGCCCACTGTGCGGGCCCCACGGCCACCCCTGTTGGGAGCACACGGGTTTTCGGATCCCGTGTTCACGCACCACAGAAAGTGCTTGTGTCCAAGAACCAGTGCAGGAGGTCTGGATGGTCATGTTTGTCCCTGGGAGGCAGCTCCTGAGCTGGGCGAATGGCCACCGGCCAGCCACCCGCATGGAAGTTATGATGTGAAGCCGCAGAACTTCTTTGGCCAGCAGGGCCTGCTCAGGGCTCTCCTTGGCTGGCGTTTCCTCCTGGACTCAGGGGCTGCAGGCCTGGAACCTGCCCCACTTGGGAGCTCCATTGCACTCCAAATGGGGAGCCCGCTGTAATGCCAGCATCATTCTGAAGGCGCACTCAGCAGCTGCCTCCTTGGGGAGGGGCTCCACTGGCATCCCCCCTCCCACCCAGTCCATGCCTCCTGTGTACCCACACGGGGGTTATTTCTGCGCCCTTGCCCCAGGCCCACTGCTCCCTCCTCAGGCATCTCGCCTCTCACATCAAAGGCCCCAAACAGATGCCCCGAGACCTGCCAGCTTGGAGCTCAGACAGTGGACCATGCTCTGGATCTCCCCCAAACGAAGCTCAGCCCTCCCCTCAGCCTTGAGGGTCTGCAAGGGCCCCTCCTTTCAGCTGCACACGCTCACCCCGTGTGGGCTTCTGCTGCTGGTCACATGACTTCGGGTCTTACCTAGCCAGCTGGCCTTCCCTGCCCAGGCCACCCGCAGTGGCAGGAGAGCCAGAGTGAGGACACCTCACTGCACCTGGCCGCTGCCCTCACGTGAGGCTCCCTGTCCTTGACAAGCAGTTTACCTGCACAAGGGCAATCCCTGGCAGGGCACAGGCCCAGCTAAGGGCGATGGAACCCAGAGATGGGGGGCCCTTCCTGGGTGGAGAGTGTGGTTCTGGCAAAGACCTGAGGCACCCCACTTTGTCTGGGGGGGTGACCTGTACCTTTATCCTTGAGGGTCTTGTTGGCCTGCCTCTTGGCACGAGGACCCAGTGACAACAGGCACCCTTAGCTTAGAGGAACGGCTCCCACCTCAGACCTGGGAGCAGGGATGAGGCTGAGCAGGTCCCCGATGGATCACAGGGAGTGGGGTGGGGAAAACCGGGCCCATCAGCCCAGCATCTCTGGCTTCCAGCGCACCCAGCCCTTCTGGAACCTTCCATGCTGGCCTCTGGCTGTCAGACTGGCTGCTTCCAGGCCATGGGCTACAGCATGGGCACTGGGGCCTGGGCAGTGTGGGGGCCTCTGTCTGCACCCCGGAAGCCGAGCCGGCACAGTTGAGATCAGGCCAAACCAACAACCGCATCTGTCTGTCCATCCAGGCACAGGAGTGAAAATGTATCCTCAGCCCCTCCCACCGCCCAGCTTCACCTTGTGGAGAGCTCACGGAGGGTCAAGAGGGGTCCCCAGGGGCGGAGGCAGGAGGCTGGGGTGGCCCCACAGCCCCCCATTATCAGCGCTTAGCCTGGGCCAAGGCTGGCACAGAGGGACCAGGGGGTAGCCGGCCAAGGACATGCGGCCTGGGTGTGCTGGGCCAGAGCAGCCCTGGGGCCAGGCAGGGTAAGTGAGCTGCCCACAGGGGCTCCTTCTGCCCGTCTCGCCCCAGAACCCACCATCCTGCTGCACTGGCTGCAGGGGAACCAGGGACATCAGTGTGGGGTCCTGGGCAGTGGCACCAGCGACAATCACCATATGACCAGACCCCTGCTGTGCTTGATGGAGTGTGAGCCGGCACAGACGCGTGAATCCGCTGGGCTCTTGTCACCTTTGGGGCTGGTGTGGAGATGCCCCATCCTATAGACAGGGCCTGGTGGGCAGCAGGACCCCCGGACCCTCGTGCGGCTTCATGGGGGTGCCGGGTCCGCCCCACCCGAACGTGGGCTGGGCTGAGGGACCCGCATCCTCATGCTTCAGCCAGTGCTGCCCCTTCAACCCAGGCCCAGAGGGGCCGGCAGAGGACAAGTGGCGTGCAGCTGACCAGGTGGGAGCAAGTGGGCCCACGGCGCAGGGGTGGGTTGTCAGGCAGCAGCTGACGGACGGGTGGAGGCGCAGAGCGGCCACCCCCGGAGGGCAATACCCTGAACGGCCCTGTGCCCCTCCAGACCTTGGCCTGGGCCCCTGTCAGGCCAGACCCTGTCCCAGGCCACCGAGCTGAGGCCATAACCCTTAGCCAGGCCTCCCTAAGGCCCTCTGGAAACAGACACCTCCAACACGGCAAGTATGTGAACCCGGACCAGCTGCCTCCTCCTTCAGGCCGCTCCAGCCTGCCGCTGTCCCCTGCTATGGCCCTGGGAGCTCTGGAGGGGACCTCAGCTCGGGGTACCCTGGCCCGAGCCTGCTGTGTCTGTGTCCCCAGGGCCTCCTCTGGGCCTCAATACACCACAAATCACACTGGCTTGGCCATGGGGGACAGGCGGCCCCCACCCCTCTGAGCCATCTCAGGGGGGGCGGGAAGCGAGCCAACACTCTGCCCAGAGATGGTGGGGGGCTGCGCCTTAGCTCTGCCCAGTCCTGTTCAGGTCCAGAGCCAGGTAGGCGGGTGAGAGGACGAAGCAGAGGCCACCAGGTGGGGGGCTCTGCGGCCAGTGGCGCCTCTCTCCAGGGCACCTCTCAATCTCTGGCCTCCAGGCCCCCTGGGGGCCCCCACAGGACCTATGTGCAGCCTGTCGGCAATGTGTTTCCATCTAAGCTGGCGCTCAGCAGGCAGGGTGGTGGCGTGGCAGCAGTCAGGACAACCAAGCAGACACAGGATAGAACCTTTATTGCTGAATACAACGTGCCCGCCAGGGAGGCCTGGCCGGCGGCCTCTCTCAGGCACGAGTCGGCCACTGCCACACCCATAGCGGGGACAGGCCTGGGGGTGAGCCCTGCCCTGCACCCCTCAGGCAAGAAGGTGGGGACATGTCCTGGGTGGGAGGCTGGGGACCCAGGTGGGGAGGTATGAGATGCAGAGGGGCCGGCCAGGCAGGGCCCAGCCTGAGGGAGAAGGTGAGGCCCTGGGCACACACTGGTCAGGGGATGCTGAGGGCCACGTGGGCAGAGAGACGACCCTGTGGCCCCAGAGGTGGCTCGCTGGCAGGCGGCCCCTCCTCTGGGGCGGTGGCAGGTGGAGCCTCCTTCCTCTCTAGGGACGGGGGGCTGAGGTAGGCACGGGCTGGAACCCTGGGGCCTCACAGACGGGGCTTGATGTGCAGAGGTTTCCCTGTTCCGAGAAGGGCACAGGTCAGGTACCAACAGCCCAGCCCGGAGGAGCCGCCCTCCCCACCGGGAGCTTCCTGGTCAGGAAGGGGGCTGCTAGCAATGCAGGGAGCAGCTCTGGACAGGCCGCCCTGGGGTCCAGCCATCCGGCCTGGGAGCTGAGAGGTGGGGGAGCAGCGGCCTGTGGGCTGGGGGCCCCTAGGCAGGGGTGGGAGCCAGAACAGTCTGTGGGTGGAGCTGCGAACAGCGGGTGCACAGACAGCACACGCTCACCCCGGAACAAGGTGGCCGGGCCGTGCCTTCGAGGGAAAAGCCAGGGTGTGTGTGAGCAATTGGCTGGGTGGGGGCAGGAGACACCGCGGCCCCTGGCTGCAGGGCTGCAGCCAGTGGCCAGGAAGGGACCAGAGGGCAGAGAGTCACATCCAAGGGGGCTCCTGCCCTGTGTGCCCCACACGGAGTAGGTGCCAATGCCTCTCCCTTCCTAGGAAGCCACCTCACAGGCCAGCGCTCCCGCTGACCACAGAAGCATCTGTGTGGCTGCCCACGGGCAGGGCGCGGTCCATGTGCCACGCAAGCTCACCTCTCCTCCTAGTACCCCCTTCAGGGCTCAGCCGAGCCAGAGCCCAGCGTCAGGCCCAGCCAGCCAGGGCCCCAGGCCTGCAGTCTTCACAGGCCTCGGCCCCCACTGGGTGGCTGTCTGGGCAGGTGCAGCCTGGCCTCCTGCCCCGGGGCCTCCCAGGCCCACCTTCGCCTGCCCCTCCAGCTCCCAGCCCTGGCCTGAGCTGGGCAGGAAGGTGGACGGGGGTCCTGGGTCAGGGGAGGTTTCTGCAGCCTCCCTGCCTCGCCCACCCTGCTTGCCGCCTCTGGTTCTGGGGCTGGCTGCCAGCGTCCTGATCTTACCAAAAAAAAAGAAAAAAAAAGAGGTGGCTGCCTCAAGACCCCGACCCCAGTGAGCCCCACCCAGGTGGGAAGCTGGTGCCCTGGTCGTGGGTGGGCAAGGGGAGGGCCTGGCCACAGCTTCACACCCCTGAAGGGGGCTGTAAACAGGCGGCGTGGGCCCGGCCCATCCGTGGCCGCGTTTGAGCGTGCTCAGCGGAGCTGTTAGAGAAGGCTGCAGCAAGCATCTTCCATTAACGTTACGACCGTGAAATATGACAATAAAATGATGGCCGTATGGTGGCAAATTTGCAGCCCGCCGAGCTGCGTGGGGTTTATCGTCACTCAAACGCGCGGAGAGCTGTAAAATGTTTACAGAAAGGGTCGTTTGCAGCCATAAAATCCTCTTTTCTCTCCTAAACAAGGCTGAGTGGAACCATTTACCAAGCCCCAAATGTTCGTCGGGGAGAGGGAGCAGCTGTTCTCTCCAGGAGTGTGCGTTGATCTTCCAGAACAAATTAACAGAAATGGGTGCTTTCTAATTAAATCAGCCCTTGGCTGGGGTGGTCCGTGAGGGCGGCCCTGCCCCTGTGGGTGGCAGGCGCACACCTGCCAGCCAGGACAGGCACAGCAGTGCCCAGCCCACGTTGGGTTCCCTGGAACCATCCAGGCCCCACCTGGAGATTCTGACTCGGTGGGTCTGAGGTGGGCACTGAAAAAGAAGCCCTGGCTGTGCTGAGCTGGGCTCCAGGGGTGGCTGCCTACCTGCATCCTTTGGGGGGGTGCTCCTGGGGGTCCGGGCCCTGGAGTGGCCTCCTGGGCTCGGTGAGGATTGCAGCGAGATGAAGGAAGGCAGCTTGGAGAGGCTGCCAGAGCCTGTCACCACCGAGGTGGCCTCCTCCTGGAGAGACAGTTCCTCCTGGTCCAACGACAGAGAGGGGGGGGAGGGAGAAAAGGGAGAGGAGGGGGGGGAGGGCGAGGGGGCCTTCGATGACAAGAGACAGGCTGAAGCTGCAGCTGAAGCCCCTGGTGAGCCGGGAGGGGACGCCGGGCCAGCAGCCACAGAGGTGGGGGGGATGGGCATCTGTCTGGCAGGGCGCTGGGCAGCCGAAGACTTCCTGCAGGAAAGAGAGGGGAGCATAATAGTAAGGGTGGGCGGCGGCTGGGCAGGGCGGGGTCTGGAGGTGCCTGCCCAGTGGCAAGGCTCCAGGCCTGTCCCCACCCCTTCCTGCCCCAGCAGCCACCAGCATCACCATGAGGTGCAAGGCTGGCCTTGGGCCCAAGGACAGCTGATGCCATCAAGGGACCGGTGAGCCCCGGCACCACTCTGAGCCTGTCCTCACCTTCCGCAGTCTGCCATCCAGGGCCACACAGGCTCCCCCACTTACAGGGCAGGTGAGCGCGACGTGGGACCCCAGCGTAAGCGTCACCCAGGATGGGATCCTCCCCTCCCCTGGGGAGCGGGAGTGAAGACCCTGCCGTCCTCCATGGGGTGCCCTTGACTCTGTCCAGCCTGGGACCTGGGGTGCGGCACCCCTGGAGACCATGTGAGCCTCAACTTTGAACTGAGGTTTCTTTTTGGGTCTGAAGCCCAAAGAACTGGGGAGGTATAGGGGCTCCCCCAGAGGGTCCTGAGCACCCCTGAGCTTACACACACAGCACCCACGTCCCCATCACCTGCTCCTGGAGGGCGTGTCGCTGGGCTCCAGGGCTGGGGCTGCCCGCCGGCTGAGGCACTTCCGGGTACGGTGGAGCAGCTGGCACTTGGCGGCCCGGGGGCAGACGCCCCTGCTGGAGAAGTCGGGGCACAGCAGCGTGTGCTTTTTCTTGCACTGCGGAGGGAAGGCACAGCTGGGCGTGGCCCTGCACTGTATGGGGTGGCCGGGCTGAGGCTTCCTGGGGGTAGGCTGGGGCCCCCGGGCTGAGCAGCCCCACCAGGCCTTCACCCACCATCCATAAGGTGTACCCTGAGCAAGCCCAGGGGTGAGGCTGGGCCAGGCTGGGTGGGTGCTAACCTCTCTCCTGACCACAGCTGGCCCATCCCGGTGGAAGATGGGGTGGGGTGGAGGATGGGAGGGGTGGGCCTGGCAGGCTCGAGGCCTCAGGGTACCTCACTGGGAGGGGCTCAGGCTTCAGGCCTGAGGGTGTGGCAGGTCAGCGGAGGCCACCGCATGCCCCATCCACCACACCTGTCACGGTGGCTAATTATACCCACAGGGTGTGCCGCCCGGCAGGTGCTTGGGGACCAAAGCCTCAGCTCCGGCCTCTCCTCGGCCTGCCTGCCCCTGGGTGGAAGCTGCAAGGCCTTGTGGTACGCCCCCTTCCCGGGGAGGGGTGTCCTGTTCTCCCCACCCCCTGCAGCTGGCTTAGTGGGCACAGCCAGAGAGGAGAGGGCTGGAATGTCACGAGCCCAGGGACCCTGACTGCCCCCCATGTTGGACTGGGTGACAGGTGGCAAGAGACACAGACCTGGACGAGAACCACCGCTTAAAATGGGCCGCAGTGCTCGCCCAGCTCGGGGGTGCACAGCGGGCTGAAACGTACGTCCTCCCAGCCCAGAGCCTCCCTCCTGCGCTTGCTCCTCAGAGCTCCCAGCACCTGGGACCCAGAGCCTGGCCGAGGACCTCATGGAGCGTGCACCCACCCTCTGATCCGAATCTGGGCACTGGCTCCATTCTTGTCCCCACACCTGGCCCCCCGATGCCGCCAAGAGACTAGAAACCCCTCACACGGGTACGTGGGAGCCAGCTGAAGTTGCAGGGTCCCTGAGCCCCACTGCACCCCACGTCAGCTCGTCCCTGGTGGGCGTGGGAGCAACACCCCTCTCGCCCTACGCAGAAGGCAGGCTCAGGCTGGCTCACTCACCCATTCACTCCTTTACCCCTCCTACCAGAGCCGGAGCCCCTCTGCACGGGGCCTGGCCAGCAACAGTGTCCTGAAATGCAGCAGCCCATCCTGTGGGCCCATGCTGACAGCGCAGCTCTACAGAGACCCTGAGGTGCCAGGATGGGGTCTTCTGGGAAACAGAGTGGTTTGGGCAGGCAGAGGGGACAGGAAGGACCTCTGGGAGGCGAGGGCCCAGCACCGGACAAGAGCAGACCCACTGCCAGCAGACCCTCCAGCAGCCAGCCCCTGGGCGCTAGCTGCACGCAGAGGTGGCCAGGGCACCTGGGCCTGTGCTGTCCCGTGCGGGGGCCGAATGCCACGGCTGCTCTGAGCCAAGATGACAGTGCAGACGTGACGGGCAGAAAAGGAAGAACGTAAAAGGGCATTTGTGTTTCCTCTTGATTACATGTTGGAATTTGTGATACACTGGGTTAAATAAAATTCATATCACCATTTTTTGTTTGTTTTTAAGGTGGCTACTAGAAAATTTAAAATCTCATGTGGGGTTCACATCTAGCTGACCTTCCTACTGGGCAGTGCCCCTCCTCTCCACCCCCTGGGCCAGGGAGGCTACAGGAGGGGCTTAGTGGGGAGCAAGTATGGTGCCCCACCCAGGAATAACAGGGACACCCCTCGTCAGGTGTCAGTGGAGGCCGAGTGGGGAACCTGGATGTCACCCCACTTGGTATCTGCTCCCCATGCCCGCCTACTGGAGTGGTGTCAGAGGAACCAGCTGAAACAGGTTTAAGTAAGGTCCAGACTCTCAGCGCATAGCAAGCCAAAACGTCCAGGTTTCAATAGAAAATGACTCATCACACCAAGAACAACACAGACCTCAAACTGAATGGAAAAAAGACAACCAATGCCAACGTGAACGCACAGGTGTCAGAGTCATCTGACAAAGATTTTAAAGTAGCATCATAACTATGATTCAACAAACAATTACAAATGGCCTTGACACAATGGAGACATAGCAAATCTCATCAAAGAAAAACAGGATATAATGGGAATTTCTGAACTGAAAAATACAATAACGGAAATAAAAAACTCAGCGCACGTGCACAACAGAATGGAGGGCACAGAGCAAAGAATCAGCGAACTGAAGACAGAACAGAAAACAACCAATCTGAGCAACAGAGAGAAAACAGGCTTCAAAAAATGATGGGCACCCCCAGGACCTGTGGGAATACAACAAATGACCTAACACTCATGGAATCAGGCTGTAGAAGGAGACAGGAAAGGACGCAAAGAAATAAGGGTTGGAAACATCCCAAATTTGCAAAAAAAAACAAAAAAACAAACAAAAAAACAAACCCACAAGCCTATAGGTTCGAAAAATTGAGTGAACCCCAAATATAAAAATCCAAAGAAATCCACCAAAAATTACACCATAAGCAAAGCTAAAGACAGGGCCGGCCGAGTGGCACGTTGGTTAAGAACTGGCTTGGGACGCCAGAGGACCCCGGTTCGGATCCCACATATGAGGGCCAGTGACACTGCCCTCCACAGCTAAGATGCTGAACAACAGCTCGACCTGGAGCTGGGCTGCCATGAGCCGCCAGTAACGGAGTAGGCTGTAGCCCCTGCTGCAGTGGGTTGCCATGGGCTACCGTGTGTAGCCGGCAGCCAGCGTGAGCGGCCAGAGCGGCTGTCCAGAAGCCGGCGACTGATCTGCCTCACCCGGGAAGAGCGCAATGATGATGCCAAGTTGGGCCAGTGAAGCAACGTCTTCCACAACTAGACTGAAGAACAAAAGGACAGCAACTTGTCTGTTCCCCTTCCCCCAATTCCCCAATAAAAATCCTTAAAAAAAAAAAAAAAAAAAGCTAAAGACCAAGCAATACTCCTCAAAGCAGCCAGAGTGACACGACACTTTACCTGTGGGAGACAAAGCTGAAATGACAGTGGGTTTCTCATTGGATACCATGGAGGTTGGCGGAAATGGTGTAACATTTTCAAGGGCTGAAAGGAAAGCACTGTCAACCCAGAATCCTACATTCAGCAAAAATACCTTTCAAGAAAGCAGGGCAAGTCAAGACAGTCTAGAGCAGCGGTTCTCAACCTTCCTAATGCCGCGACCCCTTAATACAGTTCCTCATGTTGTAGTGACCCCCCAACCATAAAATTATTTTCGTTGCTACTCTATAACTGTAATTTTGCTACTGTTATGAATTGTAATATAAATATCTTTTTGTTTTCCGATGGTCTGAGGCGACCCCTGTGAAAGGGTCGTTCGACCCCCAAAGGGGTTGTGACCCACAGGTTGAGAACCGCTGGTCTACAGGAAGGAAAACGAAGAGAACTGGTCACCAGCAGACCTGCTCTAATAGTGGCTAGAAGCAATTCTCTAAACCTCGGAACAGGAATAAAGGCCATGCTAACCAAACCATGGGTCAGCTAGATGTCTTTCCTTCTTTTGAGTTTCCTAAATTATGTCTTGATGACTGAAATAAAAATTATCATCATGTCTGTTGTGGTTCTAAATATCTGCAGAGGGAACAGTTAAGGCAATTATAAGTGGGGGATAGAATAGGGACATAAAGGAAGGTGAGGTTTCTACCCTTCCCTTGAATTCGAAAAGTGACAACACCAGTAAACTGTGATAAGTTGTGAATATATCATGTAATGCCAAGTGCAACCACTATAAAAGCTATATAAAGATATACACTGAAAAACACTATAGATAAATAAAAAGAAAATTCTAAAAAGTGTTCAAGTAACTCACAGGAAGGCAGAAAAGAAAACAGAAATAAAAACCAGAAAGAACAGAAAACAAAAATCAAATTGCAGACTTAAACCCAAATATAGCAACAATTATGCTAAATGTAAATGGCCTAAATACACTAATTAAAAGAGACTGGCAGATTAAATATTAAAACATAACCCAACTATCTGCTGTCTACAAGAAAGCCACTTCAAATATAATGCTATAGATAAGCTGAAAGTAAAAGGATGGAAAGAGATAAATCCTGCAAACATTGAACAAGAAAAAGCAGGAGTGGCTATATTACTACCAGATAAAGAAGATTACCATAGACAGAGAGGGACATTTTATATTGACAAAAGAGTAGAGTCAATCCATCAGGAAGACACAGAAATACTAAATTTATATGAATCATATAAGAGCTATTAAATATGTGAAGTAAAAACTGATAGGTATGAAAGGAGAAACAAAAACACAATATAGATGGAGACTTCAACACCCCTCTCTCAACAATTGATTGAACAACTAGACAGAAAATCAGCAAGGATATAGAACTCCTCAAAAATGCCTTTAACCAGGCCGGCCGAATGGCTCAGTTGGTTAAGAGCTCGCTCAAGAGTTTGAGCTCTGAGCAACAGCGGTTCGAGGCCAGCCCGAGCTGAGCAGCCGCTAAGCTGCCAATAGGTAGCAGGATG